TTTTTGATAAGTTAGGGCCCAAAAAATAATGACCAGGATATGGGTTTAATATTGCAAAAAACCCCCGGGACGATCCTCAAACCTTTCTCCCTCTGTGGGGGAAACTCGTGATTTCCGGTGGGGTGTTCCAAAACCGAAAGAAAAACTAATTTTTTTCCCGGGGCCGGGCCCTTTGGATTTCCCGAAATGACGATGATTCGACGGGATTGTGAATTTATTGCTCGACGATTTTTTCAGTAGGGGATAGGGGGGAAACATTTACCATAAAGCGTCGGTATGTTCGCCGCCGAATGGGGCTCGGGTAGTTTTACCCTATGCTGTGCCCAGGGACGGATTTTACACCCCGGGATACATCCGGATACATCCCGTGGCCCTAAAATTTTTTTTAGGTGGGTGATAGTGAGGATGATGGGGCTACATTTGGGCAGGGATGGGCCACAACATCAGTGGTTTTGGGGGGGGGGGTTAGTGGGGCTGGGGGGTGGTAGGGGGAAACCCCCAAAGGCGGGACCGCTGTGCCCCCGGGGGAACCCCAGCTGCTGACTCGTCGGTTCAAGGACAAAGGGGGAGCGCACCCCCCCACCCGCCACAACCTCCCGTACAACCAGCCTATAAAGTCCAGAAACCCACCAAAAACCCGGAATCGGGGATTGGCGGGAAAAACCCCAAATTTTTGGGCCCCAAAGGCCCTCACCACTTTGAACTAAAAAGGTAAATTTTAAAACCTTTTTTCCCCCTTTGGGAACCAGGGCCAATGAACGGAAATTCTTTGAATTTTTTCCTTTTGACCAGCCATTAAAGGGAAAATTTATTGTCGGGGAAAATTTAAATTAAGTTTTTTCAGTACACCATGGCAAAATACGATCTTACACCACATCAAGATCCCACGGAAAAAAGGGAAAACGCTGTTGCAAAAATGTTTTTTGTTTTTTGCAAAAATTTAAGGGTTTTAAAGCCTCACTTTTTAAAAGCATAATATAAAAAAGCAAAATTTTCCACAGTTGGCTAATTTGTACCCCTCCTTTTTTAAAATAATACCGTAAACAGGTTTTCAAATGTTATTTAAATTCCCCTTTCTGAAAAAAACCGGGCCCTGACGAAGTGACAGGTTAAAACAAGATAGAAATTTTTTTCCAGTATCTAAAACAAAAGTTCGGGATATATTTTTTATCCTTTTCAAAATCTTGTAATTGAGGGAGTTTTTTGATTTTGTTCAAAGGTAAAAGGTCATTCAAGCATTTATATACAGAGCAAGGGGAAAACCGGGCTTTGGTATAAAATTTGTTTGAAATCTGTGATTGTGACGGGGCCCTGGTTTTTGGTATTTTTGGTATACACGGGTAGTAAAACATTGAAAGATCCCAAAGATGTTTTTGGGAAATTTTTCGGGTGACTTTGTGAGAAACATGATGGCCCCTTTATCTTGGTAAGGGCCTTTACATTATATACCGTTTAACTGGTACAAAAGGGCCCATTACCATGTTTTCATGCGAGGAACAAAAACAGATTTTGTGTGGCCCATTTGCGTTCTAACGTAAACATATGCCCGGGGTTTCAACCCCCAGGTGTTCGGGGTTTGGGGACGTGCGGTGTTTAATCCCAAAAGACATCAGGGGCTTTTCGGGGGGCATGACAAACGGTTGTCACATTGTTGAAAACCTTTTCACCTTAAGGGAAATCCCAAGACAGGGGCAAAGTTAAACGAGTGACAAATTGAACGAAATTCAAAAAACCAGTGACATGATTGATTTTTTACACAAAACTTTCGCTTGGTTTGACAGTGTCCCAATGCAGATTGGTTTTTTTGGGCCTGTGTTCTTAAGGGGTTCAAGTGGTACATAAAAACTTTTTTTTTCCCTTTTCTCATGGACATTTCTTGTGAATGCAAAAATATGTCCCAAAAATAAAGATGGAAAACAGACCACCTATGGTAAATTTTTTGTTTTGCCCCTGTTGTCAGCCCAACTCTTAATGAAGTCCCAAAGGTAAAAAACACCTGCTATACAACTTGGCCCTTCGAATTCATCACAATATACCCAAGCGTTTGAGAAGAAAGGTGACTTTTCCCAAAAATTCCCTTTTTCCTTCAATTTAAAAAGGAAATTTGCTCAGAAGAGATGAAATTGTCTGGGGACAAACAAAAACGGAAAACAAAAAAGCAAAACCCCCCGGTTTATGTTTGAGGAAGGGAAAGGTGCCTCTGGGGTAGGGGTGCCTTTTTTAAAGGGATTTTCCCAAAAGGGTTTCCAGCATTTCCAAAAACCCAAATTCCAGGTGTTTGTAAATATGTAAAAATGATAGAAATTTTTTATTTTTAAAAATATCTGTGCATGTTTTATTGTAAAAAAAACCAACAGGGTAAACAATAATAGATAATAACTTTAGTGCTTTTTAGGGGTTCAAAACAGTGAGTTTATAAATATACTTTATATACAGAAATGGTCTCTCAGGCCCCCAAATTTTTAAGTAGGAATAAAAAAAAAAATTGAAAAAAAAAAGGAAAAAAAAACAAAAAACAACAAAAATAAAAATAGCGAAATTTTAAATTCGGCGTTGCCACCCCCAAACTCATTTTTTTCAAAAAACTTTTTGGCAGTACTGGGTTAAGTACTGTTCAAAATTAAAAATTTTTTTTTTTTTTTTAACCTTCAAAAAAATTTATCCCTTTTTAAATTTCCCTGTAAAAAAAAAATAATTTTTTTTTTTTTAAAAATTTTTTGGGACACTGGTGTGTGATTTCCCGGGTTTTTGGGGGCCGGGGACCCCGGAAAGGTTTAAAAGCTTTAACGGTTTATATTTAGTAAAATTTTAACAACATTTTCCTTTTTTTTTAATGATTTTCATGGTTCAACAATTTAAAAGGAAAGCAGAAATTGTAATATATTTCCCTAAAAATTAAAAGGGGGGCCCCAAAACTTTTCAGGGTTTTTTTTTCAACATTCGCGAGGTCTTGTCCCCCTAAACCCCCGCGAATTTGAGGGAGGGCCCCTTAATTTTTTTTAAATGAATTTTTTTTTTATTTTATGTAAAATTTTCCATTTAAACCCAAATTCTGTGCACTTAAAAAGGGGAGTTTTTTATAGCTGAAGGGGAATTTTTTGCTCATTCAATAAAAAGGAAAAACTTTCTAGCAAAAGCTTTAAAAATTTGGTCAAATGTAAAACGGAAATGTCTTAAAATAAGACTAAAATGGGCAAAATCACCAATGCATTTGGGCCAAGACTGTAACTTTTGGCCTGGGAAAATTTTTTTTTTTTCATCAAATTTTACACCTTTTTTTAATTAAAACAAATTTCGAAACAATATTAATTTTGGGAAATTTGACAGTTTTAAAGGGGGTTTAAAGAATTTTTAAAAAATGTCTAGTGTTTTAAAATTTTTTTTCAAAAATTGCAGGGGGTAACAGTAGATGGGATTTTTCTAAAAAAAATGAAAATTAAAATGATTAGAAACCGTATTCAGACATTTCACCTGTACAACAGGCATTTTTTAATGGACTTTTTTTTTCAATAGACTACTGACCTGAAAAATAAGCCTGATATTGTACAAGCAAGACACTGTCTAAATAAGGTTTCCAATTTTGGATTTTATGTCTTCGTCATCTACAAAAAGTTTGGGGTCAAAGTATATGCTCCATCTGGTTATATGTAAACATAAACAGTAATTAATATTCAGATGTGCAGAAATGATTAACAACTAGAATCACATCATAATAACCAACTCAGAGGCTTTCAAAATTTTTAAGAAAAATTCTCAGATGAGCTACTTAATGATGCAATACTGTGTATTATTTATAGTGAAGTAATAGTTAACTTACACTTACACCATGGTACTAACTTATACACTTACACCATGGTACTAACTTATACCATGATACTAACTTACACTTACCCCATGGTGCTATCACCATGACACTAACTTACACTTACCTCATGGTATTAACCCTTCGACTGTTTTGGTTGTATATATACGTCTTACGAGCCACCGTGTTTGACGTATATATACTCAAAAATTCTAGCGGCTTCAAATCAAGCAGGAGAAAGGCCCACATGTGAGAGAATGGGTCTGTGTGGTCAGTGTGCACCATATAACAAAATCCTGCAGCACACAGTGCATAATGAGAAAAAAAAACTCCTACTGTGTTTTTGGATTAAAACGCCGAATTTGCAGTGCATTTTCGTATAGTATTTATGGTTGGATTCTTGTTTTCTTGGTCTCAGTTGATAAAATGGAAAACATATTATAGAAATAGAGGTGATTTTGATTTGGAGCCCAAAGTAGGGGAAATGTTTGATTTTTGTCGATGTTCAAAAGTAAACAAATGATGTCATTGTCAAATAAATGTCCAACTAGCCATTCTAATATGCAGTCATGAATGAGTTGACATTATTTACACAATTATTACAATATTGCAGTAGTCTCCATAACAGTAAGTCTTCTATTCTCTGTGTGAATAAAAATTCAAAATAGAAAGCAAGAGTAATAATATCAGAGGGGCCTGAAGATGTCACTGATGAACAAAGAAAATGTTATTTTAGAGCCAGAAATGTCTGCATTGTTCATTCTGGACCCTATTTTGAAATTGTCATATTTTTTAATTTGCATGAAACTGGCCAAATTGCAAATTTCTGACCATGTTATTGCGTAGTTGAAATCGGTAAATGGGCAGTTTCTTGTACTCAATCGATAGAACAAATGGAGTTCTAAAGAAATAGCTATGAGTTTGGTCAGCTGGAACAATGGAATTAGCCAAAAATAGGGCTCAAAGTCGGCAAAATCGCCGATTTGTAAATATCGCCGAGGTCACTAAATTCGCGAGTGTAATTCCGTAAGTTTTTCATCAAATTTCACTCTTTAGGTGTCATTAACATTTGGAAAAGATTCTCTATCATTTCATAAGAAAAAAATATTTTTTTTTTTTTAAATTTTTCGACACCAGGAGACACCTCAGGATTTGGGGTTGTGACAGTCAAGGGATTAACACCACCGTACTAACTTACCCCATGGTATGTGCACTAACAACCAATTATCCTGGGAGAGGAAGTGAGTGATGTGCACCAGCGACAATGATTTTCCAACACCTTCCCGACCATCTGATACAGAGTTAAGGATCACATGCATTATAACACCGAGTCAAGGATCACATGTATCACAACACTAAGACATTATTCTATATATGTACATGTAAATACAACAAGTGATTAGGGTAGAAACACGGTAATGTTAATGGTTTGGTAGGGTGACCCAAAGAGAAAAATGCATTCACCATCATTCATTCCCTGGCTGTCTTTCCAGGGAATGAATTGATAACATAATATACAAAGTACATAAATGCCAATATCATATACAAAAATATTTTCAGAATTCATATTTCTAAGACAAAATTAAATAAAATCTTTATATAAAAATAATTAAAGTTGAAAGGAACAATGTAAACATATTGTACATGTACAAGTAATCTGTTAACAAGGCTTATATTACACTAACATTTTATCAGACAACATGCAATCGAACACCAGTTTTTGTATTTATTATATTTAAAATGTGATGGAATGTTTTGTGAAAACTGAGCAAATCATGTAAAGAGTCTTTGATGAAGAATTAGACATGTGCAACATCTGGGTATCTTTATTTGTAGACATTCTGCCAACCAGTGGCTTTATCAATACAATACAAAGACATAATGTGAAGAATTATATGCAGTCATAAGCGCCAAGCTCCGTGGCTGTGCTTCAGTTCCTTCAAGACTATGGTGATCTTCACCAACTCCAAGGCCGAGGGACTGATTACCTCATCTTTCATATACAATTCTTCACATTATGTCTTTGTACTGTATTGATAAAGCCACTGGAAGGTGAAATGTCTACAAATAAAGATACATAGATGTTGGACATGTGATAAGATAAGATTTCGTTCGGATTTTTAACCCCGGAGGGTTAGCCACCCAGGATAACCCAAGAAAGTCAGTGCATCATCAAGGACTGTCTAACTTATTTCCATTGGGGTCCTCAATCTTGTCTCCCAGGATGCGACACACACCAGTCGACTAACACTCAGGTACCTATTTGCTGCTAGGTGAACAGGACAACAGGTGTAAGGAAACGCGTCGAAATGTTTCCACCTGCCGAGAATCGAACCCGGGCCCTCCGCGTGTGAAGCGAGAGCTTTAGCCACCAGGCCATCGGGTTTTGTGTGGGAGGAGCTTAAAACTTCCAGCAAGCATGTGTGAGCATGTTAGATATGAACAAATGGAGACAAATGGTTTTTAGGACTTGACATGCTGTTAGAGTGTGAGCCAGACTTGAGTCCTGGGGATGGGAAGTACAATGTGTGCACTCTGAAGGAGGGGTATTAATGATGCAGTTTTATAACTGTAGTGTAAGCGCACCTCTGGCAAGACAGTTATGGAAAATTAAAATAAAAATGCTTATTTCCTTTCAAAGCTTACAATGTGTGGTTTACATATTATTTTTTATTATCACACCGGCCGATTCCCACCAAGGCAGGGTGGCCCGAAAAAGAAAAACTTTCACCATCATTCACTCCATCACTGTCTTGCCAGAAGGGTGCTTTACACTACAGTTTTTAAACTGCAACATTAACACCCCTCCTTCAGAGTGCAGGCACTGTACTTCCCATCTCCAGGACTCAAGTCCGGCCTGCCGGTTTCCCTGAATCCCTTCATAAATGTTACTTTGCTCACACTCCAACAGCACGTCAAGTATTAAAAACCATATGTCTCCATTCACTCCTATCAAACACGCTCACGCATGCCTGCTGGAAGTCCAAGCCCCTCGCACACAAAACCTCCTTTACCCCTCCCTCCAACCCTTCCTAGGCCGACCCCTACCCCGCCTTCCTTCCACTACAGACTGATACACTCTTGAAGTCATTCTGTTTCGCTCCATTCTCTCTACATGTCCGAACCACCTCAACAACCCTTCCTCAGCCCTCTGGACAACAGTTTTGGTAATCCCGCACCTCCTCCTAACTTCCAAACTACGAATTCTCTGCATTATATTCACACCACACATTGCCCTCAGACATGACATCTCCACTGCCTCCAGCCTTCTCCTCGCTGCAACATTCATCACCCACGCTTCACACCCATATAAGAGCGTTGGTAAAACTATACTCTCATACATTCCCCTCTTTGCCTCCAAGGACAAAGTTCTTTGTCTCCACAGACTCCTAAGTGCACCACTCACTCTTTTTCCCTCATCAATTCTATGATTCACCTCATCTTTCATAGACCCATCCGCTGACACGTCCACTCCCAAAGAAGGCTACTAACATGCCTATGCATTTTGGGCAGACTAAACTTAATTCTTACTCTATATTGGCACAGGTTATGGAATAGTACATTTTAATATACCTTATTGCATACTGATATGAAAGCTAGGTAACTGAAGTGATTAATTAGATTTATAATAGTAAGGTATTATAAAACATATAACAATATTACAATTAGTAAATTTAGTAATGGGAATGGTTTTGTCTTGGCATGATACACTGTTTCTATTAAGGCTCCAATACTGAGAGAGTATCTTAGGCAACCTTAGGACTAACTTAAGATTTATTAGGCAATAGCTATATTAGGAATTTTATGTTTTCAGTCATTTGGGTGAGTAAGTGTAAATCAGGGGGAATTACAGATAACGAGAGTAAGTTTATTTTGGATGTGTTCATGATACAAAAAAGAGAATATGTGGTTTTCACATAATTAGTTGATGATGGGGTGTGTAAGGGAGATAAGATTTTTTTTGACAGTACAGTGGACCTTCGCATAACGCTATTAATCCATTCTTGAGAGCTCAATGTTAGGCGAAATTATCGTTAGGCGAATTAATTTTCCCCATAAGAAATAATGGAAATCAAATTAATCCGTGCAAGACACCCAAAAGTATGAAAAAAAAAATTTTACCACATGAAATATTAATTTTAATACACACAAACTGAAGAAAACATGCACAGTTACATGACACTTACCTTTATTGAAGATCTGGTGATGATTGATGGGATGGGAGGAGGGGAGAGTGTTGATGGTCTTAGTGTTTAGAAGGGGAATCCCCTTCCATTAGAACTTGAGGTGTCAAGTCCTTTTCCGGGGTTACTTCCCTTCTTCTTTTAATGCCACTAGGACCAGCTTCAGAGCCACTGGACTTCTGTCACACAACATATCTGTCCATAGAGGTCTGTACCTCTCACTCCTTTATGACTTTCCTAAAGTGGTTCACAACATTGTCAGTGAACAGGTTGCCAACACGGCTTGCAACAGTTGTCAGAGGGTGATTTTCATCCATAAAGGTTTACACTTCAAGCCACTTTGAACAGATTTCCTTAATCTTTGAAGTAGGCAACTTCTTCAATTTCTCTCTCCCCTCCACCGAAGCAGTTTCCTCAGGTGTGGCCTCTTGCTGTTGAAGATGATCTAGCAGCTCATCAGTGGTTAGTTCTTCATTGTCCTCCTCCACCAGCTCTTCCACATCCTCCCCGCTAACCCCCAACCCCAAGGACTTTCCCAATGCCACAATTGATTCCTCAACTGGCATATGCCTCTCAGGGTTAGCCTCAAATCCTCAAAATCCCTTTGGTCTACACATTCTGGCCACAGTTTCTTCCAAGCAGAGTTCAAGGTCCTCTTAGTCACTCCCTCCCAAGCCTTACCTATAAGGTTTACACAACTGAGGATATTAAAGTGATCTCTCCAAAACTCTCTTAGAGTCAATTGAGTTTCTGAGGTCACTACAAAGCACCTTTCAAACAGAGCTTTTGTGTACAGTTTTTTGAAGTTTGCAATGACCTGCTGGTCCATGGGCTGCAGGAGAGGAGTGGTATTAGGAGGCAAAAACTTGACCTTAATGAAGCTCATGTCCCCACAAAGTCACTCTGCCAAGTCTGTAGGATGGCCAGGGACGTTGTCTAACACCAGGAGGCACTTAAGGTCTAATTTCTTTTTAGTTAGGTAATTTTTCACATTGGGGGCAAATGCTTGGTGTAACCAGTCATAGAAAAAGTCCCTAGCGACCCATGCCTTACTGTTTGCCCTCCACAGCACACACAATTTAGCCTTGAGGATATTCTTTTGCCTGAGCACTCTGGGAGTTTCAGAGTGATACACTAATAAAGGCTTCACTTTGCAATCACCACTAGCATTGGCACACATCAACAGAGTAAGCCTGTCTTTCATAGGCTTATGTCCTGGGAGTGCCTTTTCCTCCTGAGTAATGTAGGTCCTGCTTGGCATTTTCTTCCAAAACAGGCCTGTTTTGTCACAATTAAACACTTGTTCAGGTTTCAGGCCTTCACTGTCTATGTACTCCTGAATTCCTGCACATATTTTTCAGCTGCTTTGTGGTCCGAAACTGGCAGCCTCACCTGCCTTATCACACTATGTATGCCATACGCTTCTTAAATCTCTCAAACCAACCTTTGCTGGCCTTAAAATTTACTCACATCACTAGTTGCAGGCATTTTTCTAATTAAATCCTCATGCAACTTCCTAGCCTTTTCACTTATGATCGCTTAAGAGATGCTATCTCCTGCTACCTGTTTTTCGTTTATCCACACCAAAAACAGTCTCTCAACATCTTCTATCACTTTCGATCTCTGTTTCAAAAACAAAGTTGCACATTTGGCAAGAACAGCTTCCTTGATTGCCATTTTCTTGGACACAATAGTAGCGATGGTTGATTGGGGTTTACTATACAACCTGGCCAGCTCGGAGACACGTACTCCACTTTCATACTTAGCAATGATCTCTTTCTTCATCTCCATAGTAATTCTCACCCTTATTCCTGTAGGGTTGGCACTAGAAGCTTTCTTGGGGCCCATGGTCACTTATTTTGCAGGTGAAATCACTAAAAACGCTGTAATAACACGAAATGTTCCGATTGTATGCTTGGATGTTACCGCGGAGGCTGGCTTGTAAACAATGCCACAGGCGGAACAAGTGAGACTGGCTCAGGCCGCACATAGACGCGTCTCAAACGAATCGCGTTGAGCGAGTTTTTTAGTGCTATGCGAGGCAAAATTTTAGCGATAAAATATAACGCAAGGCGGATTTAACATTATGTGATGCCAACGTTAGACAGAGGCCCACTGTAGTTTTGAAAATGGTGGTCGAGTCTGTAGTTCAAGAGTGAATGGGGTGAATGATGATGAAAGTTTTTCTTTTTTTGAGCCACCCTGCCTTGGCGGAAAATGGCCGATGCATTAATAATAAGAAAATATTATAAAAACACTCTGAAAATTGTACTTATGTGTAACTGTACGTAAATAAACTTACACATTGTGTTGGCGTGCAGGTACACAGAAAAAATCATTAAGATTGTCTCGCTAGTGTTGAAGACATAATAATAATAATAAATAATAATAATAATCACTCTGGGGTGCTTTAAATGTCATATATATTGCAATATTATAAACATTTTCATTAATCCATCTATGATTTTTTTTTCAAAATTATGTAAGAAACATGCTACACATCATATAAATATAATGCATACAACCATAGTAGAACAACATTAACCCTTTGACTGTCGCAACCCCCAATCCTGAGGTGTCTCCTGGTGTCGTAAAATTTAAAAAAAAAAAAAACTATTTTTTCTTATGAAATGATAGAGAATCTTTTCCCGATTGTAATGACACCAAAAAAAACGAAATTTGAGGGAAAACTGATGGAATCATGCTCTCGTGAAGTTAGCAACCTCGGCGCTGTTTACAAATCGGCGATTTCGCCCACTTTGAGCCCTATTTTCAGCTAATTCCATTGTTCCAGTCGCCCAAACTCATAGCTATTTCTTTAGAACTCCATTTTTTCTATCGATTGAGTACAAGAAACTGCCCATTTACCGATTTCAACTACCTAATAATGTGGTCAGAAATTTGCAATTTGGCCAATTTCACGAAAACTAAAAAATATGACAATTTCAAAATAAGGTCCAGAATGAACAATGCAGACATTCCTGGCTCTAAAATAACATTTTCTTTGCTCATCAGTCATGTCTCCAGGCCCCTCTTGCTTTCTATTTTGAATTTTTATTCAAACAAAAAATAGAAGACTTACTATTATGCAGACTACTGCAATACTGTAATAATTGTATAAATAACATCAACCCATTCATGACTGCATATTAGAATGGCTAGTTGGACATTTATTGGACAATGGCATCATTTGTTTACTTTTGAACATTGGCAAAAATCAAACATTTCCCCTACTTTGAGCTCCATTTCTAGGTTCTTTTTATAGTAAAATCAATCAAAATCACCTCTATTTCTATAATATGTTTTCCATTCTATCAAATGAAACCAAGAAATCAAGAATACAACCATAAATACTATACGAAAATAGACCACAAAGTCGGCATTTTAATTAAAAAAAAAAACGGTCGGAGTTTTTTTTTTCTCATTATGCACTGCGTGCTCCAGGATTTCTTTTATATGGTGCACACTGACCACACAGACCCATTCTCTCACATGTGGGCCTACCAGCTTTTCTCCTGCTTGATTTGAAGCCGCTAGAATTTATGAGTATACATATATATATGTATATACGTCAAACACGGTACCTCGTAAGACGTATATATACGGCCGCGACAGTCAAAGGGTTAAAATGGTATAAAATACCGACAGGTTGTTAGGTAAGACACATATGCAACAGTTAGGTATCTTTATTTCGAAACGTTTCGCCTACACAGTAGGCTTCTTCAGTCGAGTACAGAAAAGTTGATAGAAGCAGAAGAGACTTGAAGATGATGTAATCAGTCCATCACCCTTAAAGTTTTGAGGTGGTCAGTCCCTCAGTCTGGAGAAGAGCATTGTTCCATAGTCTGAAACAATAATATTGCTTCAGACTATAGTCTGAAACAATAATATATTAAGTTAGCAATAGAACTAGGCATCAAAAAACAATAAAAAAGTACAATACACACATAGTGCACTCATTACTTACCTTAAAATATTTATAGTCTTAATCTAGGGTGAGATGAGTAGTATTTATTGTAAGAAATCAAGTGTGGTATGTACGGTAGTCAGCCGGGCTACCATACCAGGCCACCCAACCTACACATAATATTCTATTACATTTAAGCATCCCAGAGTGATAAAATGCATATACAGTTCACTCATTACTTACCTTAAAATATTTATAGTCTTAATGTAGGGTCAGGAGTGAGTAAACAAAATAAAACAAATAAATGAGAGAGAGAGAGAGAGAGAGAGAGTCAGTACATGAGGGAGGACATGCACAGAGTTATGTAAACAAACCAGGCGAACGTAAGTTTTGTAAACGAAGTGTACACGTCCGGTTTGTGTACAAGTTACATTGTGTACAAGTTGTCTCTACGTTGATACGGTAGAATAAATAAAGAAGAACACTCCCATTCTCATGTAACACCATTTTTAGAAGAAATGATGCTCTGAGTGAAAGCAATGGAAATAAGTCATTCTGTCTGACTTTTTTGGGTTATCCTAGGTTCTCTACACATATGCTGTTATGTATGATAATCTATGTAACTGTATTTGTGTATACCTGAATAAACTTACTTACATACATACAAAAGGAATAATTTTCTACAGTTACCCCCAATAACCCATTTTCTCTTATGTTGGACTGGAGGAAATGTTATTCTTGCCATTACTTGTACAAGTTATCTGGCTACCACATCTCATATTTATGCTTATTTATTCTATTGTGGGGTGCATTTATCATCTTTATATGTTATGTATCGTGTTTATTATATAATTTTGAAAAAAATATCATGGATGGATTAATGAAAATGTGTATATTAACGTAATATACGACATTTAACGAGACTCGGTGATTATTATTATTATTATTTCTAATATGGCGTCATTTGTGCAAGTCGTCTGCTACCACATCTCATATTTATGTTTATTTATTCTACTGTGGGGTGTATTTATCATCTTTATATGTTATGCAACGTGTTTATTATATAATTTTGAAAAAATATCATAGATGGATTAATGAAAATATGTATACATGTATTAACGTAATATACGACATTTAATGAGACTTGATTATTATTATCATTACTAATGTGACGTCTTGAGACATAAGACAGTCTTACTGATTTTAATGTGTACCTGCACACCAGCACAGTGTGTAAGTTTATTTAGGTATAGGTATACATAAGTATAATTATCAGAGTTTATATAAAATATGAAATATCTTTTAAAAACACTTGAAATTTTGTTGTTTCCAGACATAATGGAAAGACTTAGTGCTTGGATCTCACAGAGAATGTAAACAAACCAGGTTGGGCGCGGTGACCATATTAGAAAGTCAGGTGGGGGGAGCCATATAGCGAGTTTTGGTCATAATCTGAAATGACCATATTAGCGGAACGCCGTAAAGCGGGGCCCTACTGTATATTTATTAAGGTTGAAGCTACACCATGTTTGCACACTGTAGTTCATTATTATTACTGTGTACTTATGGGGTAGTAGCAGCTTGTACAAGTTATACAGTACTTTGTGACAAAAAGGTCACCTCTGTTAAGTGCAGGGGTCACCTCTGTTAAGTGCAGGTATCACCTCTGTTAAGTGCAGGTGTCACCTGTGTTATGTGCAGGGATCACTTGTGTTAAGTGCAGGGATCACTTGTGTTAAGTGCAGGGATCACTTGTATTAAGTGCAGGGATCCCTTGTGTTAAGTGCAGGGGTCACCTGTATTAAGTGCAGGGATCACCTATGTTAAGTGCAGGGATTGCCTGTGTTAAGTGCAGGGATCACCTGTGTTAAGTGCAGGGATCACTTGTGTTAAGTGTAGGGGTCACTTGTGTTAAGTGCAGGGGTCACCTGCATTAAGTGCAGGGGTCACCTGCATTAAGTGCAGGGGTCACCTGCATTAAGTGCAGGGGTCACCTGTGTTAAGTGCAGGGATTGCCTGTGTTAAGTGCAGGGATTGCCTGTGTTAAGTGCAGGGATTGCCTGTGTTAAGTGCAGGGATTGCCTGTGTTAAGTGCAGGGATTGCCTGTGTTAAGTGCAGGGATTGCCTGTGTTATGTGCAGGGATCACCTGTGTTAGGTGCAGGAGTTACCTATGTTAAGTGCAGGGATCACTTGTGTTAAGTGCAGGGGTCACCTGCATTAAGTGCAGAGATCACCTGTGTTAAGTGCAGGGATTGTTGTGTTAAGTGCAGGGATCACTTGTGTTAAGTGCAGGGATTGTTGTGTTAAGTGCAGGGATCACCTGTGTTAAGTGCAGGGATTACCTGTGTTAAGTGTAGGAGTCATCTCTATACTAAAATTAAACACATCATTAAGTTAAAGGATACAAAGTATAAATTTGTTTGGTGGTAAAGCAAGATTTGTCTTCTTGATGTAATCAATGGTAGTCAGTGCTGGTTTACGGATCATGAGGCAGGTCTCGGCAAATGTTTTACACTGAGTTGCAAACTGCTTGGGAATACCACCCAATCCAAAGAGTTGTTTTGCTATATCTTGTTCTAGAGTGTACCACAAGCCCAGTTGCTCCTCTGTCTGCAGTCCCTGAAAAAAATTAAAACATTATCAAAACATTTCAATGAAAAAATGCCATTACTTTTATTATTTGATATCACAGGTTTATATTTACAGTAGAACCTCCGTATCCACGGATTTGGTTTCCACTGTTTTGGTTTTCCACAGTTTACTGTGGTCTGAAAATAACCCTTAAGTTTACTTAATAATAGCCCCAAAGCACACAAGTAGTGATGGGGATAGTTCTTCAAAACAAGAGAAGTTGTGAAGTGCTTCCCATCTGTGAAAGAGTGCTAATTCTTGACATATTGTGCATAATTATCAATTAAATTTAATCATAGGTATACATGTAAATGAAAAACAACTTATATATAGGGTTTGTTACTATCCACAGTTTCAGGTATCCACGGTAGGTCTTGGAATGTATCCCCCACGGACATGGCAGGACTACTATATACAGCCTCTCCTCACTTACCGACATACTTGTTTACCGACAACTCGGAGTTACTGTGGGCAGCACAGTGTCTCAGCATCAAGCATCTCAGTCTCCTTACAGCCACTCAGTACACTAGCTTTTCAAGTCTCCAAGACTACATATTTGTACAAATCTGCACCTGATTGTGCACTCTATAGTACAAGATAGATGTGCAGTAGAGGAAAATGGAAGTAGTACAATAGAAGTTCATTGTAAAGGGGTTAGTGATGGGTCTCAGTATCAAGCAATCTCCAAGGCTACATATCTCGTCTATAAATTTGTACTTGACAGTGTACCCCATAGTACAAGATACAAGTGCAGCAGCGCTTGGAAGAGGAATGAGAGGAAAATGGAAGAAGTACAAAAGAAGTTCACAGTAAAGGGGTTAGCTGGTGTGATCGTCTGTGTTTACAGTTTTGGTCTCTCATGGCAGCTCAATTAAGAAATGATTAAACTCAGTGAACAAGATATTCGATGGTGATAATAATAATAATAAAGTTGGTACCTGACCAGCCGGGCTGTGGCCCGCACATTGGATTGCGTGCAGCCAGCAGAAACAGCCTGGTTGATCAGACTCTGATCCACCATGAGGCCTGGTCACAGACCAGGCCTCGGGGACGTTGACCCCGGAACTGTCTCCAGGTAAACTTCAGGTAATTAATAAAAAAATATAATTACAGGGGACCCCCGACTTACGATATTAATCCATTCCAGAGAGCACATCGTAAGATGAAATTATCGTAAATCGAATTAATTTTCCCCATAAGAAATATAATGGAAATCAAATTAATCCATTTAAGACACCCAGAAGTATGAAAAAAAAAATTTTTACCACATGAAATATACATTTTCCTACACACAAAAAGAAGGATACATGCGCAATATATATTGTGCATGTACTAGTGTACTAAATGAAGAATAAATGACACTTACCATTATTGAAGATGTGGTGATGAGTGATGAGACACTGTTTGTATCCTGGGAGTGCCTTTTCCTCCTGAGTAATGTAGGTACTGTTTGGCGTTTTCTTCCGGAACAGCCCTTATCACAGTGTATACCACTACAATTCTTAAATCTCTCAAACCAACCTTTGCTGGCCTTAAATTCACCAATACGAGCACTAGGTCCAGGCATTTTTTCCTGTTCACCTGGGTGTTAGGCGACTGATGTGGGTAGCATCCTAGGGGACAAGATTAAGGACCCCAATGGAAATAAGTTAAACAGTCCTCGATGACACACTGACTTTCTTGGGTTATCCTGGGTGGCTAACCCTCTGGGGTTAATTGTTTCTCGGTATTCTCGACAAGCCACACCAACAACAGTCTCTCCACATCTTTGAGTAGTACAGCTGACCATGGTGCAGCAGCAGCTGACCGTGGTACGAGAGTATTTCTCACCCTTTTTACCACAGGGTTGACACTAGATGCTTTCTTTGGGGCCCATGGTGGCTTATTTAGTAGTTACAAGCATTAAAAACGCTGGAATAATACAAAATTTATCGAATGTATGTGTGCAATCATCCGCCCTGGCTTGTAAACAATGTCACACTAGGTCAGCTGAGCGCTCAGGCCAAACGGACCAGACGGCCGTGTTCAGGACAAATGATGTAAGTCGAGCTTTTCAACGTAGGTCGGGGTCAAATTTTTACACTGACAAGCATCATAAGTCGGTTCTATCGCAGGTTGAAGCCATCGTAAGCCGGGGGTCCACTGCAACCACTCTGGGGAGCTTTAAATGTAGCTGACATTTAAAGCACTCCAGACCAATTGTTATTATTACAAAAAATAAATCTTTACCTTTATCTTAATTAGTTATTATTATTAATTATTATTATTATTATTATTATTATTATTATTATTATTGTCATCATCAACATACCTTGTTCACTGAGTTGAATCATTTCTTAATTAAGCTGCCACGCGAGAGACAGAATGTACACACACAGACGAACACACCATCTATTACCTTTACTGTGAACTTCTTCCATTTTCCTCTTGTTTTTTTTCCTCTTTCAAGTGCTGCTGCACTTATAACTCTATCATGTACTATGGGGTGCACAATAGACATGCAGTAGCACTTGGAAGAGGAAAAACAAGAGGAAAATGGAAGAAGTACACAGTAAAGGGGTTAGATGATGTGTTCGTCTGTGTGTTGACATTTTCTGTCTCGTGGCAGCTTAAGAAATTATTGAACTCAGTGAACAAGGTATATTGATGGCGATGATAATAATAATAATAATAATAATAATAATAATAATAATAATAATAATAATAATAATAATAATTAATAATAATGATCACTCTGGGGCACCTTAAATGTCATACGTATTTCATATAAGTTTGGTAGCTGACATTTAAAGAACTCCAGAGCGATTATTATTAATTATTATTACAATGGCACTACGGATTTAGACCACTTTTTTGGGCGAAATCTTGGTCCAGATTTCGTACCTCCCCCTGGAAATCATATCAGACGCCTGCCCGCCCGGGAAGCGGCCACTCATGCGTACGTATCTCAGTCTGGCTCTGTCACTGGTTGGGTGAGCATTACTTCATGTGTTCATCTGAAATATTTCCCAATAATCTATTGTTTTTGTGCTTAATTATTGGGTGCAACTGCGAAATAAGCCACCATGGGGCCAAAGAAAGTTCCTAGTGCCAGCCCTTTGGTAAAGAAGGTGAGAAACATGATAGAATTCAAGAAAGAGATTGTAGAAAAATACGAAAGTGGCATACGTTTAGCCAAACTTGCCAGGATGTATGGGAATAAAATCAACAATCGGTTCCATCATGGCAAAAAAAGTAGAAATCAAGGAAGCTAAAGTCGCAAAAGGGGTAAATATGCTAATGAAACAGAGATCACAAACAATCGAAGATGTGGAGAAGTTGTTGTTGGTGTGGCTCAAAGAAAAACAGTTAGCGGGAGATAGTGTTGTGGAGTCGATCATTTGCGAAAAGGCAAAGCAGTTGCATGTGGATCTCGTAACAAAAATACCTAGAACAAGTGCTGCTGTTAGTGAATTTAAGGCCAGAAGAGGCTGGTTCAACAGATTTAAGAAGCATAGTGGCATACACATTACTGTAAGGCATGGCGAGGCTGCAAGTTCAGACAAACGTGTGGCCAAAGAATTCATTGATGAATTCAAGGAGTACACAGAGGCTGAAGGAGTCATCCCCCAACAAGTGTTCAATTGTGACAAAACAGGCCTCTTTTGGAAGAAAATGCCAAAGAGGACCTACATCACGCAGGAGGAAAAGGCGCTGCCAGGACACAAGCCTATGAAGAATAGGCTAACTCTTTTGTTCTGTGGTAATGCTAGTGGGGATTTCAAAGTGAAGCCTTTACTGATGTATCACTCTGAAAAATCCCAGAGTGTTCAAGAAAAACAATGTCATCAAGAGTAAGTTGTGAGTAATGTGGAAACCTAATAATAAGGCATGGGTCATGAGGCAAATTTTCATCGACTGGGTCCATGAAGTGTTTGACCCGAGTGTGAAAAAATACTTCCTGGAAAATAACTTGCCACTCAACTGCCTCCTGGTACTAGACAATGCTCCTACTCATCCTCCAGATTTGGAAGACCAATTGTTGAGGGACTTCAGTTTTATAACAGTGAAGTTCTTGCCTCCTAACACCACTCCTCTCATCCAGCCCATGGACCAGCAGGTCATTTCTTACTTCAAAAAACTCTACACAAAAGCAATGTTTCAAAGGTGCTTTGAAGTGACCTCGGACACTGAACTGACCCTAAGAGAGTTCTGGAGGAATCACTTCAATATCCTCCATTGCATAAGCCTTATAGGTAAGGCTTGGCAGGGAATGACTTCCAGGACTTTGAACTCTGCTTGGAGAAAATTATGGCCAGAATGTGTCCTCGACAAGGATTTTGAAGGGTTAGAGGCTGACTCTGGCAACCCTACACCTGCTGTGGAATCTATTGTGTCTTTGGGGATGTCCATGGGGTTGGAGGCGAGTGGCCAGGATGTGGAAGAGTTGGCGGAGGACCACAGGGATGAGCTAACCACTGAAGAGCTGCAAGACTTTCAACTGGAACAGCAACAGACTGCAGCTGAGGAAACTGCTTCAGAGGAGGAGGAAGAGAGAGAGGAGAATGTGCCTTCTTCAGTGATAAAGGACATGTGTGCAAAGTGGAATGAGTTGCAAACTTTTGTGGAAAAATATCATTCTGACCAAGCTGATACAAGTCATATCTGCAACATGTTCAGTGACAATACCTTGTCCCATTTTAGGCAAATCTTAAAGAAGACGCCAGAAACAGAGCTCTCTGGACAGATTTTTAGTGCGACAGGAGTCCAGTGCCAGTAAGAGACAAAGAAGGGTAGTAACCTCAGATAGGGCTTTGATACCTGAAGTCCTTATGGAGGGGATTCCCCTTCCAAACAATAAGCTTTCCTCTCTCTCCCCTCCTCGCCTTCTTCCATACGCCAACAAGAGCCTTCAATAAAGGTATGTAATAGTGATTTAACTGTACATTTATCCATTTCATTAGTGCTTTATATTTATTTCTCATTGTCTTCTGTATGTAAAACTTTAG